GGGTCAAAATCTGATCAGCGTTAGGGGGAACTGGTAGTCGACCGAGGTGATAGGCTATTGGCTGTTGGATTAGCGGCTTTTGCCTATGGTAACTGCGGCGCCGCGACGAAGTTCTTTTGGGCGCATAGGACCGGTTGGCTTAACCGTACTATTTTTTCTAACAACGCACATAGTTTATTTACTAAATTACCATATAACTGTAAAGGCCTGACGAGAATTTATCGAAAACAAACGAATGTTCGCCAATTCATCTTCTGAAATTTTCAATGGGAATTTTTCGCAAATTTAAAAATTATTAGGACGAACTACTATATAGCAAGTTGTCTGGCGAACAAAGTATACTTGGGTGCTAAGTTTTGTAAAAAGATCAGGTTAAATAAGCAGAGGAAGACGTCTCTTACGAGTGTCTTTTGATGCTGCTTCTATTTGCTTGTATATTTTCACCAGCGGGAATCGCACCTCTCCGAGACGAACTTCTGGTCTCTCAGATGCGACTGCGGGTTTTGGGTGGTCGTGCAGTGTGAACGTGAGCACGTAACTTTTCAGTTTTCTATTTGGAATCTTCTGTAAGGAAACGAAAATACGGTATTTAAAAACGCTTCTTTTTATATAAACAGCATAGATCGACGGTTGAGAAGTTTCCTTTCTATAAATAAAAAAACATAGCCAAAACTCACCTTTGATATTTCAACAGGATGCTTATCTGTTGACTAACGTTCACCCGACCGCTAACGGAGCTCATCTGTCTGGATCTGCTTTGAGTCTCGCCAGAGGCCCTAACAGCCGTAGCAGCTGGTGTTATAGGCAAATAGTATTGCTGGCAAAGACAGGGGAAACTGGAATGGCGACTTCTGGTCTGTTAACCTTCATCAGCCAGTCCTACCCAGGCCCAAATGATGTTCCACCCGAATTTCAAACTCGCGACATTTTTGATCACAGTCAAACGCCCTAACCATTGAGCCATGAGCTCGTTGTCTCACCGGTTTAGGTCAGGGGATGGATGGCTTGGCTGGGGCACCACGTGGGTGTGGGTATGGCTAGCTGACGATAGCTAATGAGTCAGAAATTGTCACGCCAGTCCCCTTATAGTTGCCGGCAACCTGCCTATACTTGGATGCTTATTGTCGGTGAAATCTAATTATACGGCATAAAGTCAAACTTTATGTCCAACTTAAAGTATTTATGTTTAAGTTCAGTTTTCAGTTCATTATTGTGTTTACTATTTTTATTTTAGTTTTAGATGATTTTTAAAGTCAATTTAAGTTACTTAGCTTCCATTTTCAGTTATTTTATTTTAGTTCTAGTCATTTATTTCGCAATATTTGCATGGTCGCACCTTTTAATTATGTTGCGCTTTTTGTTGACAAATATAAGAGCATTTAGATAATTATTCCTACTTTTTCTACTTTTATAAACTTTACTTTTTAATTTTTCATTTCTTTCCTTTGTTTTGCCCAGGCAGAACACTCTTTAGTTCACCCGGTTCTGTATTACAGAAGGATGGGGCTTTCGCATGCTGATCTGCGACCTAAACTAGGATTCTGCCAACCAGCCCTATCCAGACCCGGGTTCTGTAGGACCCGTGTCTCGAACTGGCGAGCTCTGTTTGTCGAGCGTTAGTAAAACCAAAATTTTCGAGGCAATTCACCT